TATGGTGGAGCTCAGCCGGTAGGAGGAGGAGGGAGAAGGGGACCAAGGAGGAGAGTGGTAGGGTACTTACCTGGCTATGGTAGACACCATCTTCATCTCCTTGCTAGGCGCTGCATCAGGAAGGCCCCAGTGGGGGTAGTGCCGCATCAAGGAAGCTCGGACAGAGTCAGGCATGGCGGTTGAGTGGGCAGAGGCATAGTTGTTGGGTGATGACCTTGAAGTAGAGCAGTGGTGTTGCTGATTTGGGTTGTCTTTGTGCAGGAGGCTGAAGCCTCCATAGTCCGCCATAGCCATAGCCTGTATGTGGAGGAAGAAGAAGGGCTGCCATGGCTATGGTGGACCTCATCTTGTGCCTGTAGTAGAAGTGGGATTCGGACATTGATTCTGGTTCAGCTGTTCAACATTATTATTGTTTCTTTGTTGTTTGAATAAGAGAGGAGGAGATAGAGAGGAGGAGGTTGTGGAGCGAAAAAGAAGAGCTTTGTCTTTGGTCTATGCTGGAGTACATCATCTCTTTCTTCTTTCTTACTTCTTCTTCTTCTTTCCCTCTCTCTCCTCTCTAGTTCATTCATTTATTTTCGCAATCGGACAACATTGTACTTTCAGATGATTGTGGACTTCAAAATTCGCCAGGATCGTAACATTGGTATCGGAGCGGATTCTAATTGTTGGCGAGAGTTGACTTTGCTGCCATAACCCTAACCCTAATGGTAAGGGCTACCACTTAGGGTTAGGGCTGGAAGTTAGGGTTAAGTGGGGCAGCGTGGTAAAGGGAAGATGCCCCCACCTGGCAGAGCCGTGTAGGGTCGACACGAGACCCGGCCAGGTTGCTTGAGTGCATGTTTGTGGTGGCGAGACACAAGGTGGGACTTCGTGATCCAATTTGAGAGAGGCGACAGTGATGGGCACCTACAACTTGAATCTTGACTTCAAGGAAGACAAGGAGTGACTTTAGGGCTCCCCTCAAGTAGGCGAGTTTGAGGGTGGCAGCCATATCTGCACCTACGGACTGCAAGTTGCTGCTTTGATCTTCAACAGTGACGGGGGATCCGGCTTTGTACTTTGGGATAGATGTTGAGCCTCCTAGATGATAGGACACTAGTGTAGAGGATGCTAATTGGGTCAGGAGGACTATGCGAGAGGGGGGTGAGTTCTTTTCATCTCAAGAGCCCGGCCACTCAGGTAAGTGTCGTGCCACCAGGGTGCCCATGTGTGTGTGCATGGAGTTGACTACCTGTTGGGGTTCTCTGGGTTCTTCTTCCATCCTCCATAGTCTTGATTGTGTGTGAGGTGTGTGAACTGCCTACTCACCTGATGAGTGAATGAATGGAGTATCTTGTTTGCCATGTGATATCTCTCTATAGTGCTTTGTTTATTTCATTCTGAACGGCGGTAGTCTACAGGTTCTTTCTGGGGCAAAAAAAAAAATTTCGTTTTTCAATTCAGTAGGGACAGAGTAGGTCTCTGTGGAACTCTTGTTGGTTGGGACCCGGTTCTGACTCCACTGGGACCATTTGGGACTCAGTGGGACCGGGCCCAAACGAGAAGGGCCCCTCAGGCCAAATCTGTTGATGTCAGTTACCTTGCTCTATCTGATTGGGACACAGACTTTATGCTTTCGGACCAGGACACTCGCTGCGGAGGGGATCTCCGCTGGGACGTTTTATCAGACTTTACCGCACAATCCGCCGCCTGACTCGCACCTTATACACCACTCAATTCTCTCTTGCATTTCGCTGTACATCTTGAATCTGATTTGCTGTGTTTTCACGGCGCTGAGGCTGGCTAGGCTTGGGAGGACCCCATACGTAGTCAGTCCAGACTGTGTGGCTGGATCAGATGTCTCTGATCTTTTCTTTTTTTTCTGTTTTGACTGCTCTCCAGTCCAAATGAATTGCCGCTCCGGCTAGGAGTTCTACCTTCTCTTCTGAATGATTTCAAGCTGTTTCTTTCATTAGGTTCTTTAATGCCTGCGTCTACACGGTCGCAAACGAGAGAGAGAGAGAGAAGAGAGAAGTTATTGAGTGTTGCCCTTGAGGGAGTGAGGAGAGGGAAGAGGAGCGTTCGTCACAAAGCTGAGAGGAAGTACGGACCCCTCTTGAGAGTCCGACTGACGCCCTCATCCTCCATCATGGCATCTGCAGCAGATTGGAAACTGCAGATGGACGCTGCCCCTGAGGCTGAAAAACCGCAATATCAGTTCTTCTACGAGAAAGCCTTGAAGAGGGAGGAGGAAGAGAAAGAGAGAGAGAGAAGGGATAAGGTGCAGGCTCACGAGGCCGTCCTTAGCACCGTGTCCGCTCTGACTGATGAGGAGGTAGAAGAGAAAACAGTTCCCCTCCTCAGAGCTTAGCAGGGGTCCGGGTTGCTGAGGACCATACCGGCCAGCTCGCACAAGTGTTTAAGCATCTCAAGGAGTTGCGCGAAGACATGGCCAAGATGGCGCAACAGCACCACGATCAGCTGCAACAGTTTGCTAGTTCGCAACAGGCTCAAATCGTCTCTTCACTCACCTATCCTGCCTCCAATGCTGCGTGTCAGTCCAATTTTGCCCCTCTGACTACGTCTACTTCTTCTTCTTCTACTTCTTCTTCTTCTTCTTCTTTGAGTATGGTTAACGGCCAAAGCGGATCTGCAGCAAGTCCAGACCCCGCTGGTGCTGTTGCTGCTGCTGCTGCGGCAAGTGGTGGTGCAGGGACTTCTGAAACTGTTGCAGCCCCGGGCCCGGACCCAGCAATGGCTGGGCCAGGCGGCAGCTTCGCTTACATCAACAGGAAGGCGGTGCAGATTCCGTCCAAGTATGACGGAAAGGACGACGTCGAGTCTTGGATCAGCTCTATGCGGTCCTACTTTGATGTATTGGGGACACCCCCGTCCACTCAGTGGTCTATCCTGGGGACCAATGTGGAGCCCGTCGTGCGGGGTTTCCTAGAAACCCAARCTGTCCAATYAGGCTATAAGAGAATAGACYTGAACAAATGGTTGAAGGCTACGCCTACTACCACACTTGAGGATCTCTTGATCAAGCAATATGTTGATCCACATGCTGCAGCTAAAACAACACTCAAGCTTGACAAGCTCAAGCACAGCAAGTGGACCGGCACCATGCACAGTCTGCAGCAGTACGTCAGTAAACTCTTTGCTACTCCGGATCTGGAGATGACGGTGCAGTCTTGCTTGGATGTGATAAAAGGTACGGTCCCCTCTTCTCTGAAAGATCGCCTAGGGCTCGGGCTCAACGGATATACAGATTGGCTTACCCTCATGCGKGACTTAGTCAAGCTGGAGGCACAARACCTCCCGGGTGGATCAAGTGGCAAAAAGGCCACTGGCCGCAAACGGTTTCCAGGCAGCAACCGTTTTGCAGCGCATGATCTGGTTGAGGCTGACGAGGAGACCCTCGTAGAAGAATCTTCTCTTGATGACGATCAAGAGCAAGACTGCGGGGCAGCTTGCTCTTTGTCAGCCCATGAGTCTGAGTGTATAAATGACGATGAATCCATGAATGCCTTTAAAAAGACTGCCTTCAAAAGTAAGGGACCGAGGACCACGATGAAGAACAACATTAACACTATCCTTCTTCCCAAGGGAGCAAAGATTCCACCAAAACCGAAAGGTCCTGCCACAAAACCATGGCTAGATCTCCGGATTAGTGAAAGTGAGTGGAAGAACAGGGTGAAGAGAGGAGTTTGCCTGCATTGCACCAGACCAGGACATTCAGTCCAACACTGTTTCAGATTGCAGCAGGAAAACCAGCAACGGGGGTAGAGGCGTCATCAACACACTCTACTGATAGAGAGGCTGAACATGTAAGTACAGATTATTCTTTGGATTCTGATCCCACTCAGCAAACCTCTCCTGAAACCCCATCTGATGCTGATTCCAAGGCTGAGAAGTTACACATCCTATACAAGGAGCCTTGGGTAGAGTCGGAAGAGATTGACTTTCGTGCTCTGTTGACGCGCTGGGCTCACATGAAGCAAGAATGCGCCCAAGGGAGGACGAAGTTGATCTTTTTCAAACTCTACATTAATGGTCGTTACATCCGTGCGTTGGCTGATTGTGGTGCAACCGCCAACTACTTCTCACCGCATGGCATTCGTAAGGCACACTTGGGGATGAAGCAAGTGACTTTGCAGAATCCTTGTCGGACCCAAGTGGGCAACCAAGAGGTTGTCACTTCCACGCATGCAGTCAAAGGTGTGCGCACTACCTTTGACGCTGATCGCACAATCACGCATGAATTGAACTTCTATGTCCTTGATCAGTGCCCCTTCGACGCGGTTATTGGCTTGGGCTGGTTGCAGGCCCAATGTGAAAGAACCACGTGGAAGGACTCACAATTCATGGTCAAAGATGCCATGGGGATCGAGCGCCCCGTCCTCTTGGATGAACCGCGCGAGTCCCAAGTGACCTTTGCAATTCTGCAAAAAGTGGCGCAGGCGCAAAACTGATGAGCAAATGTATATAGCCTTTGTTAGGCCTGCTCATGTGCCTTCTATTTTTGCTGTACATAGTGATTCTACTCTGCATGCTGTGTCCACCTCGGATGCAACTACTTCTACCTCTACTAAGTCCATCTCATGTCCAAATGACTCTACTTCTAATTCTGTTGTTTTGGCTGCACCTATACAAACTAACATGCTTGCTCCTGAGAGTGATGATCCCCCTCCGGAAATCCCATCGGAAATTCGTAACCTTCTCAACGGATTTCCTGACGTCTTGGCCGAACTGCATGGAGTCCCCGTGCGTCCGGTCCGACACAGGATCGAGTTGATTGAAGGTAGCACTCCTCCAAAGGGT